GATGTTCCATTATATAGTGTTTCACTTGAGGTATCGGTATCGATGACGTCCACCGACAGCACCCTGGCTCCAAATGGTCCCAGATCGTTCAAGGTTGTCGGTTGTGGCGCACTACAGGTTCTCTTTTCCCAGTCCAAGCCTTCGAGGATTGATCAGCCACTAAAAGTGGGCACCTTCGAAGATACGCTCACTTATATATATATATATAGCATGCTATCCATTTTGCTATGGTCTCTTCAAATATCCTTCCTCCAAAGTGCAAACATGGCATTGGTTCATTTGCAATTGTTTGTTGCCCACGTTACCCAACCAAGTCTTGTCACCAGCTTGCCGGGTCCTATCATTTTGACTTGTATCCCAAGACGCCACTTTGGGAACACTCATCCAAATCCTCCAACGGCTGCGTTGCTGGCCCTCATCACTTCACGCAAAAGATCGCGACGCGCGCGACGCCCGCGACGACGTGAGGCCGTAGATGCAGTGATCGCCTTCGGGCGGCTCTTCTTTCTTCGGCAGCGCATGTGGGACGCGTGCCCAGAAGTGACACTGGAGCTGGCCGAGTTGTTGCTGGAGTGGGCCATGGGGGATCGAACGCAGATGGCAGAGGGGTGTCTCTAAGCAAACTCATTGACAATGCTGAGGTGGTTTCTGGGGGTGCTCTAAGTGTTCTGAGAGACTCCATCTTTTGGAAAGGGGAGTGTTTGATAGATGTGTGGTTAGAACATCGAAATATTGCCAAGTGCATGGCCCACACAGACAGTGGACATTCGCAAGAAACACAGTCATTTTTCAGCTTGCGGTGAATCTTTTTTGGGATGTTAAGAAGGGCGCCCCTGATTGAAGGAACAGCTTTCAACACAAGATACCATTCCATGAAGCGGACACCTGAAAAGCCATGAGACGATCAGACAACACTTGGCCGTACAGGTGGCTACTGTCTTCTGGCCTACACACACACACACCAAGCAGGCATTTCTGGTGTGCTTCTTGTGCTGCACGGTGTGCCCTGAAGTTTCAGACACACCAAGCAATGAGCACAGGTAGAAATCTCCTCAAACACTCGGTGTTTTTGGGCGGATGACATCTGCAGGAGCACCGTCACTGGGTGCTGCAGTGCCTGGGCACACGCTTTTGCGCGCAGCTTTTGGATGCGGACCCGCCTCGCTACCAGGCACAGAAGCGACACAGACTTCGATCAATGATTGCTTTGAAGAATACCAGTGTGTGTATCTTGCCAAAGAAGCGTTGAACAGCACACATAGGCTAGTCGGCTTGTCAAGTCGCCGTGTTTTTTGTTCTTTTCTGAATATATATTCCCCTGAAGGTTTGCTTTAGAGACCTTGCAAGAAGAGGTGCTGGGCGAGGTCCCTTTGCTTTGATCCTGGCACGAAGCCTGGCTTCAACATGCTTCAACCTGACCCGAGCTGTATCTCTCCCACCAAGTGTAGTCCTTTGTATAGAGGAGGCCCCAGCTTTCAGGTTTTGTACAATCGTGCTGGGGCATTCTGGCGATGTTCATAGGTATGTTTTGAGCCATTTATGTTTGAGCCGCTAGAACTTTTAGCTATACTGTTATACATGGGATTCTTTATTTGCTTTTATTTTCCTTTATTTGTCTCTTATTTGTCCTTATTTTACCTTATTTGTACTTTCAGTGTTTCTCTCTTATTTGTCTTTATTTTCTCTTACTTGCAACTTGTTCTGCAGTGCCATCAAGCATTGGCAATGGACGTACATCCAGGAGGAGATGAAGCAGTCGCGGCAATAATCAGTGGGAAGAACAAATACTACAAAAGACATACACCATCATATTTAACCCACTAGCCATCACCATGTCATGATGACAATGATTCACCCGTTCATTTCATATGTTATTTACTTTTGAGAATTTCACCGGAGCGGAGAGAGCCATGAATCAGATGGCCCATGACTGAATTTCCGTATGGTGACGAAAGCCTCTCAGCTTTTGCTATATACAGAAATTGCTCAGAAAGACAGTAATCCCAAATAAATGTTGTTCACTGACTGAGGCTTCTTTATTTTGGGACAGGTTTCATTGGTGGCTTGGGCAGGTGATCGCAATGGACGCCAGTGCGAGTGGAGCGTGTACCACTTGTATGCAGCTATGCAAAGCAAAGAACCCAAGTTGGACAAAAGAGAACTTCAACGTAGAGCAAGAACCCAATCTGAAAACAACACGAGATTTTTAACGTCATGTCTTTGAATATTATTACTTTAAATACTGTAAGATGCAAATTCACTACCAACTATGTGAACAGCCTTTAATACATTTAAGCCAACTCCGTCCCGTGATCCAAGGACTGTGGAAGGGCAACAACTTCCAGAAATGGACGAGGATGCACAAGCAGCTTTGGCCAGAAGCGGATGTGCCGAAGCTCTTGGTACCTACTGCAGATAGAAAGAAAGAGTCAACGGATGATAAATTCTTTGTGGAATCAACCATTCCCACATCATTTCTTTTTGCTGCTTTGTGCAGCCAGGCATCCCTAAAAAGAGGGAAGGGTGGGATGAAAGAGAGCAGGTATGCAGCTTCCAGCATGTTGCACAAAATTTTGACACATCTATCTCAAACTGGCGACTTCAAACTATCCTTCACAGCACACGGGAATCAATACCATATCCCTGTCCCTACTACCGGAATGTTTCCTGTGGCAGTGCTGACTTCAATGTTGGAGCCTGACAGCCTGAAGCAGTTGAAGAACTATTGGAATGAGAGTGCTGAGGATATTGTTTTTTGGGGTTGAGAACAAAAAATGGTGCATTTTGACTAGCCTTCACACATTGCCTGACCTGTTTGAACACCGTGCTGCAATCTTGCAACCCTGTCAGGATCCAGAGAAGTCTTGGGTGTGTGGCGGGTGGTCAACCTTCCTTGACTGGGCGAGTTTTGCAGTAGCTGCACTGGACCCGAAACTCAACTCAATTCAATACAGTGGACCGTGTTCCAGTACTACTACAGTCACAGTCTCGGCGTGCCCAGGAACAACACCAGTGCCATAAGGACATGCGGCTATGGAATGCTTGCGCAGGCAGCCCATTTTCTCGCTCTCTGGAAGCATTCAATCTAATCAATCTAGTTTCCCAAGATTCTATTGCAAGAGCCGGGATTTCAATTCTCTGCTAATAGATCTAATCTAAGGACTCCAACTTCTCCGAACTGAGCTCTGCTACTGCACGAAGAACCAGGCAGCCTGCAAGGTTCAAGAGACGTGTGAGCGCAGCCACTTTGTGGACTGCAATCCAGGATGTGAAGGCTCATTCAGAGACTTGTTTTGTAATATCTGGGTCAGTTGGGATCCGGGTCTGTCTGTCTGTTTGATGTGGAAATTTGATAGACATATGCATACGTGCTTGACCTGAACATGTCTAAGGAACACCTTTTATCAAGTGCGTTTCGCAAGATTGACATGTTCAAGAAGAGCGACCAAAAAATCATCTCCTACCAGTGTGCATCTACCGCTGAGAGGTATTGTGTCCTTTTGCAGCAAGATGATAGTACATGTTTTTACAGTTACAGGTTACAGCGGGGCTAAGCCAGTCTTCAGTCTAGTAACAAAGAGACCGTTTTCAAGATGCATTGATATTTCACACCTCCCAACACCGTTCAGTTCAGACCGAAGTCAGCAGCAGTCCGCGCCTAGGCTGCCTACATCCAGGCAGCTCAGAGGGAGGTGGGACCTGAGATTCACCGACATGTTCCCCGCTTGAACTCAAGGTTTTGGTGAATTCTGAAATGGAATCAATCAGCCTGAATTCTTTGCTGCCTGACTAGCGATGTTCAAATCCACAAGACGCCCAGGTTGCGTTTGATGGCACATCAATTGGGAAGACACCCATGGAGGGATATGCTTGGCATTGCATCTTTGCTTATTTATTGTATAATGATGTCATAGATACTCAGAATGACGTGAAATCAATCAGTCCTATTAAATACATATTGTACACATGATAGATACTGACAGAGTGTGACAATTCAGTCTCCTTGACTCATACCAATCAAGAAAACCCAGCCAGTGCACCCAGTGAGTCAGAGCAAAGGCCCTGACATTGGCCTCTCGTGCTTCTCTCCACCAATCGCAACTTGCCGGCAACTTCTCCTGGACTGGAGCGTTTGGTGAGGGATTCATTGAGTGCTGGTTTGACCCATTTCTCACAGGGAAAGATTGGGCTCACAAGCATTTGGTGAGGGATTGAGTGCTGGTTGGGTTTCACTGACCCATTTTTCACAGGGAAAGATTGGGCCCAAATCAGAAAATGAGCCCACAGGCGACTAACAAGTAACCAGTCGTGAAACGATTATTCTTTGTTTTTTGAATAGCCTGAGCTCGCACCTTTTGCCATTGACTGTTTGTGACACATGGCGCTCGTGCCAAACAATGGCCTGCTGGATCTTTGGTCTGATGATGACCAGCATGATCTGGCCAGCAGAAGCGAAGAGACTTCTTCCTGCCACCGTAGTCTTGCACTGTCTGTTGAGAAAGAGGCTGGAAACCGTTACTACTGTCAGTCAATTGCTCAGCAGAACAATTCAGTCAGTATATAGAATCTCTCTAGTCTAGTGCGTCAACGTTGACCTTCAGACCTCCGATTCTGATATGATTTTGCTTTCACTTCAATAATGGGTTCCCCTGTGGCGTCCTATGACACTGTCTGACCAGGGGGCATCTTGGACGCGCCTGGAGAAAGCATCCAACTCCATTGCTGTTGGGTGGAGCCTCATGAAAAAGGTGGTTCAGAATCTTGAGGCTCGGAGATGGGTCGGTCAGTCAGTCAGTAGGATTTCAGATTCCTGATCAATGACTCATAAGGTATAATATGCATGACCTAATGTGACTAAAAAAACACACTATTATAATTATAACAATCATTCATTAGAACTGAACATTCACAGTCAGTGAGATAGATCAGTAGCAAAACCTTTCAATCACACACATGACTGACAGGATTCCTGGATTTATCATGCAAAGACGGCCTTCTCCATGTGCTCTGGCGCTGGAACTGCAGAGAGCTCAAGAGCGGTCATCGAGAGCATAGTGCAAAAGTATCCACTGCCTCACAGTGATCTCGAGATGAATATCCAAACTGTTGCGCTCTGGGTCTCTTAGATTTGCTTGGTGGACAATGGTTTCTGTTGAATTCATTTCTTTTCAGGGTGAGGAACCCAAACAGTATTCATTTCCAAATCATGCTACTTAAACTGCTGACTAAGGAGTATGCTGCCAACTGTAACCAGCTCTTGTTTGACAACCATCGCTGGTGCACAGATACAATTGGCAGAGACCATCCAATGCCTCACTTCTTTGGGGATATCTTGGGGTTGAACCCTGGTGGAACCTTCAACGCAGCCGACAGCTACAAGATCAAGAAACAGAGAATCAAAGAGTCAGAGCTCATGGAATATCAGCTTTGCAACACGCACAGCTGGTCTGATTCAGAATCAGAATACTGCTGTGTACCGGGTGCTCATTTTGGATGCAGTGGATTGCCGTGCACCGATATGTCTCGAGCAGGCAAACGCAAGAAGCGATCTGGTCCGACCAATTCCATATATATGACCCACGGCAAGTACACTGAGGCCAAGAAGGTTCCACTGTTTGTCCTCGAGTGTACACCGGAACTTTGGCAAAGTTACATAGTGGGTTCTTTACGTTACTTCTTTTCATTGACAGGCAGGGAAACAATTAAATTGCTTTTTTTCTGCAAACGCCAGTCAATGTAAGTAAGAATGCATTCAACAATCTATAAATTAATAGTATAGGTTTCTTTGGATTTACATGTCTAATTTAATTGAATTTGTCTCCTGTCCTGAGGAATTGGACATGCTCATGGTGGAAGAGACTCATCCGTCCTACGACCTATACCAGCTGTTTTTTACTACTCAAGACACAGGTCATGGAGGTGTGGCCAGGAATCGCACCTATGTTATCGCATCTCACCGTGAGCTTACCTCCTGCATCTATGACCCAGACATCATGAAGGACAAGATTGCCAAAAGAGTCAGTGGTCAGGTCCGTACAGTGCCCTCTGACTACTTTTTGGCTCAACAGGTTGAAGTCGAACTGGAAGCACGGGCTCTTGCTGAAAAGCGAAGTGTTCAGTACAGACCTTATGCAGCAGATCTGTCCTACCTACTAACCAAAAGGGAAAAGCAGGCATTGGAGACCTACAAACGCTTGTATGAGGAAGAGTACGCTGGTTGTGCCACTGACAATCCTGACTTGGTGGTGTTCTTGGGCGACAACCCAAATTGTTGGAGAACTTGGTCAGCAAAATCCAAAAGTATCCCAACGTTTCGCAGGAACTCGAAGACTGGACTGATGTGGTGTCCTTACCTACGACGTTTCATGGTTGCTCGAGAGAAACTAGCAGCATTGGGCTGGCCTGTCTCGGAGCTGATAGCAGCCAACATGCAGTGCAAGCCAGTTCCAGCTCAGGATATTCTGCGTGCAGCAGACCTGGCTGGGAACGCAATGCACTTCACTACAGTGGCTATAGCTCAGATGCTTGCTCTGGGGTGTTTTCGACCCCTAGATCACTAGACATTACGCTAGAAATATGAGTTTTGTGACTGACTACGTCAAAACATGACGAGCAGACTGGGCTTCATAACATAGCTGGATTGCTCTACAATGCTAAATGTTGTTATCCCAGTGAATGAGACAATTGCCCATCCTGGCCCCGTCTGTCAGTCAGCCTGTTTGTCCTGGTGACTAGTTAGTGAGGGTAGTCTTGTGGACAATGTACATCGTATGTCTGTCAAGTGTCTTTGAAAGACACCGTGTCCAGATTGTCAACGTCAATGCCACAGTGCAAAAAAAAAAGGTCGTCAGGAATAGTTTCACACATATGTCATGTCTGTCTGTTGAGTGACTCAGTCTGAGTGGCCAACTGTGACAAAGTGTGTGCATGCAATGTTCATCAAAAAGAAACAACACTGAATTTATTTTTCAGAGGGTCGGGTCTTTATTTTGACATATTTAATCATTGCAAATGCCTGTAGGTTTCGACTCAAATCAAAGAGTAAGAAGCTTAGAGTGAGACCTTGAAGGATTTCTGTCTGACTGACAGTCTGATCATGTCGGCTATCCCTTTCAAGTGGGGCGCAGATGAAGAGATCGAGGAAAGCAGTGACGAAGAGGAGGAAGGGTCTGATGATGAGTCTAGTGGGTCCTCTAGTGATGAAAAGAAGGATGAAAAGAAGGATGCCGGGAAGGACGCAAAGGGTAAGCCAAAACCTAAAGCCAAAAGCAAAGGGAAGGAAGGGAAGGAAGGCAAGGATGGAAAGGGCACTTCGAAGAAGCCTAAGACCGTGAAAAAGAAGCCAAAGTCGAGAACATCTAAGAAAGGAGACAAGCAGATTTTTCGCTACAACTCCTGGCGCGCAGTTCCAGAATCTTGTATTGTGTTTCAATGCTTTATTTAATTTTCTTGACAAAAATGCTAATATTTGTATTTTAATTGATCTGAATCTGAATTCAGTGCAGAGATTCTCTAACTAATATTTAAACTACTGTTTGTCAGACAGACTGAGTTAGTAAGGAATCTCATCTTCGGGACTTTCTAGCAGCCGCTGAGCCCAGTGCAGCAAATCATCTGAAGTTGTCTGACCTTTCTGCGCGGCAGTTGCGGCGAGTGTTCTTCGGCTATTTTCGCCAGAACCCTGGGAAGAAGCCTGAGAAGAAACTTGGAATACTCACAGCAGGTGTTTATTTTTTGGTCGGTGCTTTTTAACTTAGCAACCACTCATTATTATTAGCAGTTTTCACATAATAATATGTTCAAGTTGTTTACATTGAATCTAGCTCAATTAATTCAACATTATATATTTATAGTTAACACATTTGACTTCCATCTGAGGAAGCCCAAGGGTGAAATTCGGTCTGATCTCTTGAAGGAGTACGAGAATTTGGGTAGGCCTGGTGCTGGCATGACCGTGCTTGACATGATTCGCAAAGTTGAAGCTGAGATGAGCAGGCACCTGGAGTTTCAGATTGAAAAGGGACAATCTGGCCAGATGATCCTGACTTGTGGAAAGAGCAAGGTGACTTTGCCCAAGAATTCATGGAAGAACCAGATCTACAAGGAACAGTCCGGCATTCCGTTCATTTCAGATGGAAAGAAGTCTGTGAGGTGCATTGATTTCTTTCAGGATGACACAGACGAGAAGGAGACCCCCGACAAACCGACTGCGAAGAAGCCGAAGACAGAATTTGCACCGCTTAATGTTCCTTTGCCTGGAACCCCTGCATCATCAGCGCAGCCTGGAACGCCATTGACAGTGACAGGGACACCCAAAGGCCCAGAAACTTGAAAAGCAGTTGATTGTTGGACTCCATTCATTAAAGAAGTTCACAAACAAATTTAACTATATATATGTTGTTGCCAAGTAAACTTTACATTGTTATTGTGAAATGATCCATGCCCCCAGGCGGTGGCAGTGAGCCTGAGCTGACGCCCGATGGTGCTGACAAGACTAAGACGACAGGAGAGAAGAAGCCTGTGTGCGCTTGCAATTACTTTCGTGAGGTGTGCGATCAGTGCAACAAAGGATGGTTGACTGAACTTAAGGCTGGTAACACATGCCCGCTGGGATGCTAGATTGCTATTAAATCAGTTTTATATGCTTTTCATGTTGCTTCACTCACTGGGCCAGCCAGGGTGGGTCGGGTCAGCATCGAGAATTCGGGGGATTCCAAATCTATCTTAGGAGATGGCACTGGTCCTGAGCAACCCGAAGATAGCGATGAAGACATTGCACCGCCATCAGAATCTGAGCCCGAAGAAGATCTGTCAGAGGCGGACAATAGATTTTTTTTAAGTACGGACTCTGACTCAGACTCAGGCCTCAGTCTGTCAGACTCATGGCATGAGCATCACTTCAATATAAACAATGGAACAATCTCAACCACACACTACTACATACTAAATAGTGGTTGTCAAACTGGTTCTATTAAAGTCTTATCTCTTGCTGCTGGCAGGGCATGGTGGATGGCTACACTGTGTTCACCTCTGTTCAAGACTCAAAGACATGGGTTCTATTTCACGGAGGGGAAGAGATACAGGTGTCTGAGATTGACGGAAGCAGTGACTGGAAGCTTGTGGCCAACACCAAAAGTGGAAAGCACGAAGGTGAAGTCTTCCTACACTCACCCTCTGGCAGTGGAAAGCCGCAGTGGGTTACTCGCCTGAAGTTTGACACCATGAGCAAGGAGCTGTTCAACAAGATTCAAGCATTGGTGAAGCAGTCCAAGAAGGATGTGGCTGATGCAAAGAAGAAGGAGGAGGAAGACGAGGCAAAGAAGAAGAAGGATGAAGACGAGGCAAAGAAGAAGAAGGATGAAGAAGACGCGGCAAAGAAGAAGGATGAAGAAGACGCAGCAAAGAAGAAGAAGGATGAAGAAGAGGCAAAAGCGAAGGCAGCTGAAGCCCAGGATCAGGCTGCAAAGGAGAAGGCTGCAGAAGAAAAGAAACGTAAACATGATGAGGCAGTGGCAGCAGAATTAGAGAGGCAGAAGAAGCAAAAGGAAGACTCAGATGCGAAGGCCGCTGAAGAGGAGACAAAGCGTAAAGAAGCAGAAAAGCAGAGAGAAGAAGAGGAAGAAAAACGCAAGCTCAAAATGCAAGAACTTGAAAACAAGATCAAACAGATGCAGGAGCTCGAACAGAAGCAAAAGGAAGATGCAGCAGAGTGGCAGAAGAAAATGCAACAGGAATTGCGAGAGCAAATCCAAAGGGAGATGGAAGAGAAAAAACAGACTCAGGACACATCTTCGCCAAAGCCTGAACCAACAGAGGCTGAAGTGAAGTTGCCAAGTGCATCAGCGGCAGTGAAACCAGCAGATGATGAGGTGGTAGAAGTTGAAGAAGATGAAAAAAAGGCTGCTGCTGCAAAAGAGGATGACAAGAAAAAGAAAGCTGAGGAGGCAGCCAAGATCAAAGCCAACCGGGAAGACGCAAAGGAAAAAAGAGCAGCCAAGAAGAAGGTTGTCCCACCATGACAGACTGTCAGGACCTGATTCGTTGGTTTTTTGTGTTGTTGTTTTCGGGGGGTGTGGGGTGTTGTAATGTTTTTGCCTGTATAGTATTGATTCAACTCAGGAAAATATATACTATATAGGTTTCAGTTTTGTCTCTGAATGTTTATTTTTTTTAAATGTGTTTTTTCTACTGTGCATTAATTCTATAATATTTTATGTATTTGAAATTTGCATTACAGCATTTTTGTTATTTTTCCTTATTAGATTTATTGTTTTTTTTCTATGTGTCTTTATTTTTTTAATTATTTGTATATATATTTTTTTTAATATTATATTTTTATTATTGTTTCTTTATTTGTCCTTTATTTGTACCTTATTTTTCCTTATTTTTCCTTATTTGTACCTTATTTTTCCTTATTTTTCCTTATTTGTACCTTATTTTTCCTTATTTTTCCTTATTTGTCTATTATTTTTCCTTATTTTCCTTATTTGTACCTTATTTTTCCTTATTTGTACCTTATTTTTC